GAAAGAGCTATTCAATTTCAGATTTAATTTATCAATATTATTCAGTTTTGTCTGATTATGCTGGAAAATGTCCACCATCCTGCCAGAGAATCCAGGGAAATGAAGGGAGGGTGCAAGCTCCAACACACTGTAGAGTGTGTATCACCTTGGCAGTGGCAAGAGCTAAAATACACACAATTCCCTGAGCTGTATGTAGAAGTGCACATAGTTTTGGCAGGGTACAACAGTGTAAGATACAACCATTTTCAATCCCATTTTGAACCCAGGGGAACTATTTCAAGCTTTCCAAAAAGGATGGGGGGAGGGAAAACAATAAATATGTTGAAGCTTCATAGCCAGAGAAGCTTAAGAATAAAGAAAGCACTATTTGACACACTGCATTTTTTGCATTTTTGCTGTGTGTATGTGCCTGCACAGTGGAAGACATTTAATTTATGTCACACCACATGAATGTTATAAGCAGACATGTCTGCCTTGCAAATGCTCCTGCCTCAGCAGGACATAGTCCTTGGTCCATGTGGGCTTTGTGTTTGGAAGATAATCAGGCATCACCTTAGGACACACAGGTGATTAAGGTGGACAAGAACGCAGTGCCAGGAGCTACCTGAGTAACCACTAAAGACCAGCCTGGGCTGAGAAGCAATATAAACAGGAGTTTAACTTGACTGCACATTACCTCTTCATGAGACCCTGGAGACCCTGAGAGCTGAGGACAAGCCTAATCCCCTGACATGACAGAGAAAGTGGGTTCTAGAAGGAGTTTGAGTTCATAAATGATGTGTCTGATATCCTGGCACATATTTCCCAGGAACCTGTCCCTACAAAAACTTCATTACTTTCCACCCTCAGTTGTCAATGTGTTGGCATTTTGTGTGCTTCCATGTGTGCTGCTTGTCCTCTGGTCAAACGACACTAACTAAAAAAAGAAACTACTCCAGGAAACTGAGAAGAAAGAAAAATGGGAAAGCTGATGTGTTCTTCACTTATTCTGAGATGCCCTTCCCTTAATGTAAATGACTTGCAAATACAGCACTTCTGAATTAACACTCAGTGCCAGAAGATACTGCCTTAGCATTTGACCAGCAGTACCTCTTGCAAGGAGATTAACAAAACCTAAGCCATTACATTTTGTTTAGTATGTTCTTCTAACACCATTCCAGGATTTTGCCCAGTTTTTGGTTTTTCCCCTATTAGCAGGAAAAAGCATGTGGGGACAATCTCACAGACAGCAGTCTGGCACCACTGCTGCATCTGGAGGGCCATGAACTGGCAACTCACTTTTGCTCTAATTAGCTGAGTTTGAAAACATTTCACTTTTGGCTGGGAGTGATCACTGATGTCTGGGATAAATCATGACAAATATCCAGACCCCTGATGGATTCTGGGGGCTCTTAAGGGCCCTTTGAGAGCCTGATTAAATTTTGGTGGAAATTTATGGGTGTGTCTTGGCTGATTTCAATGAACTTTGCAGCAGGAAAACCACAGTTTAGCTGCCCTGGATTACCACCTCTAAGTTCTGGAAGCTGCAATTGGTCTGATTCTTACTGTTTAAGTTGTTCCCCACTGACCACTGGCACAAGGTTGAGGGTGGGAGCAGCTTGTGTGTGTGGCTGGACTCTCACTGAGGAGGGCGAATAATTCCCATCCTCTCCCGCTTTTAACACATCCATTATCGTTTGGGCTCACAAGGAAAACCAACAACCCAACTGCCAATCAGGCACTGCAACAGTAAGTCAGGCTTCTACAAATAGGGAACAATTATGATAAGAGTTTTCTGTGTTTTGCTATGGAGAGCAAAGAAGAGCAGCAAGAAGTTTTGGCAGCACAAATCCTGCTCATGTTCAGTGTAATTTATAGTCTAGAGTGCCTCAGGCATGTTTGACAGTCAGTCTTAGTAATTTACAGGGACTCACAGAGAATGCATTTAAGTGCCTACTTTTGCACTGGAAGCACTTTTGCATTCAGTTCTTTGGCCTTTGGTGTCTAGCAACTTTAAGCCCCATTAATATTGCCTCAAGTGAAAACAAACTGGGCTGACATGTAAAATTTACTGCTGGGAGCGACATGATTCCAGTGTTGGGGTTTGTTCCTTTCAAGCTGAAGAAACCAGCTGGAATGGGTGATAGACAAAGACAAGTCAGTGAAATTCACCTGGCTCACATTTGGATACACCTTTCAGATGCATGTCTTATTTTTGCACTGCTGATGGACATTGAAACCTGCACCTCTCTGGCTTGGACCAGAGCACCCTGTCCATGGGTTTGTTTCTTCACATCAGCTCTGGAGAAACCCAAATACAACCTTATTCTCAGAGGAGTAGAAGTTACAGTCAACTGGGAAGGCCCTTACCAACAACCATGGATACAAAAAAGAAGAGAAAAGTTTACTTGGTTTTGCAGTAGGCCACCACACACATGATGCCAACTACTAGAAGAGCAATGCAAATGCCAGTTATGGTCAGCACCCGTTTCTGGTACAGTTCCTCAGCTTCTAGAATGGGACAAAAACAGAGAAGGTCACAACATGGAGGATGACTAGACAAGGATCACACAGTCAACAGCTAGCATGCTACAAACCATTGCACAAATTCACACAGACACACCAAAACACAGCCACCACACTTCAGGCAGAATCATTATTGACTGCAAGGAGAACAGAACTGCACCATAAGCTCTTAACACAGTACTAGAGGCGAGTGACCATCCGTACAATTACAGGTAAAAGTCATCTCTTTTTTTTGTTGCTTAAGTCAACAACAATAAAATCTAAGAAACAAATTCACAGTTGACAAACACTCAGCATTTGCTGGAAATAAAAAAAATGCAATGCACTTAAGTAATAACATGAATTTGCAAATGCTTCGGAAGTTTTACTCTGCAAAGACAGCTGGAATGAAGGTCAATTTGTAAGATAAATTTATTTTCTTATTATCTTTTTTGGATTATTTTCATATTCAATATTCCTCGGCCCACATGTCAATTTATATCTCAGCTGTCTTTACAGGAGAGATTTCAAAATATTCTTCTACATTTGAAACATGAGCTTGGCTTGTAATTATAACACCAATGGAAATTAAACAGGTTTTGAGCTCTGATCAGAAAACTCAGACTCTTCCTCTGGTGCTCCTCCAAAAACACAGTGGCATCGACAACCAGCAGTGCCTTGTATCAGAGAAATGCTGGGTTTCCACTTGGTCTCTTTGTGTCCAACAAAGGAACCACTCTACCTAGAGTGGCAGCTTGCTCAGTGGTAACTTGTTACCCATCTCATTCATTCGAGATATTTAACTGTTATAAAGGTATTAGTAGCACTGGTAATGTTTGGGTTGGAGCTACCCATGCATTCCAGCCTCGCTCATGCTTGGCACAGAGCATCACTGTGTGATGTGCTGGGAAATGTTATGCAAAGAGTCCTGAAACAGGGGCGTGTTCTATGTTGATGCTTTACTGATGCAGATTTGTATTCCTGCTTTTAAGACAAAAAGGGTGTATGGCTTGTGTTTTTTTTTTCCCTCAAGTCTTATTTTTTATTAAGCAGGCAGTCCAGAAAACTTGCCCTGGAGGATCCAGACTGGAGACTGGTCTTGGGTTAAACTGCAATATTGACCAGAATTGGAATACCAGCAGGTGATTAAAAATAAATGAGTGAACAAAAACTGCACAGTTCTGCACTCCTTTTGGGGCAAATGCCAGTATTATTC